TCAAAAAGACAAAAAAGTTGAAAAAATCAAAAAAATCAAATAAATCAAAAAAATCATGAAAAAATAAAAAAAATCATTGATTTTTTATTTTTTTTATTTTTTTAAAAAATCAAAAAAATCGCCAACCCTGTGAAGAACTGTAGGTAAGTCCCATGATAGTTGCGAGTATCATAGATAAAAACTTGCTTTATTGACTGATTATGTTGCCATTTACTTGAAGCAAATGCAAGATGGTTAAATAAGATGGCGAAAAATAGTGTGATCATGTATATGCATGCGCCCGCCAATGCCTAGAGATAGAAGTGCCTATGCCCGCTTTGGACATATGCCCTCTAGAGGTAAATTTATACAGCGCTTGGTAAATATATTTGTTAACCCTTAGTGGTTAGCCATACTATGATTCAAGTAATTTTTTTCAGTCTAAGGTACCTATAGTTTACCACTTGATGCCTTCCTAGGCTTTGACTGCAGTCCAAGCTCTTGGCATTTCCTTTGCTACAGAACATAGAGCCAATGCAGTTGCAAGCACAATGATCTCTGCACTGACCCAGACAATAACATGTCCTTCACCAATGCTAATTCTTACTGATAATTTTTTCACAAGTTTTAGGTATATGTGGTATATGAATGCGACTCTTTATATGCGGCATGGATGTCTCATTATATGTATGGTCTGGAAATATTTTGCCATAAAATACTAAATATACCTATAATTTTGTTCATCTTGATTGCTTCCTCTGTAGGTATGTGTTATAATACAAGAATAAAAGAGCAGTCAAGTTGTTTGTACATTCTAAGTAGTAAACTTTCAATGGCAAAATCAACAAATATTTTTTACTTTAAGCCAGCAAAGCCCCATATATGATCCCTTCATTAATTGTAATTTATTACTTATATACGAGAAATTTTTAGGAATGCTTAGGAGTAAATATATCTTAGAATTGGTCAAACTTTTAAGTACAATCATCAAATATTACAATTTCATTGAATTTCTATGTCTGCCTGGGAAAGGGTTAAAAAAATTTAAGTACTGACATAAAAGTTGCACACATGTGTTGCTTTAAAACGTGATTTTGCATAGCTCATTTAAAAAATGGCAGCCATTTCCACACAATGGGGCAATAAGTGACACCTAAAGGGCCCCAATTATAAAAAAATCAATTAAAAACAAAAAACTTTGATTACAGCTAACTCGGTCAGCAAAAAAAGTTCACCTAATAAAAAATATGCATCTTCGGTCAGCACAAAATTGTGCAGAGAATGTCATAGATAGAATTGTGCACCAAGCAACATAGAATGAGAAGTGGTTAGCCTAAACTATGATTTATTTCTCCAAAAAATATGATGGTTGTCACTAAAATATTACTTTCTGTTTCAGGTATGTTTGTTATGATATTTTTTTGTTATAGTGAATTCACTTGACCCAATTAAAATGGTGCAAAATTACAAGCAGTCCTGTAAGCACAGATACCTAAGAAATGCTATACAGCTGCTGATTTGAAACTAGCCGTGGACATGGCGAGCACAATAGTGCATTTTTTCCATAAATGAGAAAATGCACTAAAAAACAAGTAAAAATCACAGAAAATTTCATTTATTCTATATCTACATCATATAGAATGGAAGAGAAGAACTACAGTAGGTTAGTAGTGGATGTGTACACTCTGCATGCTTCAAACATTTTAAAATTGAGTTTTATTTCAAGTGCTCCAAATTACCCCATTCCCAGGGGATATTTGGGATGCTTTTATTTTACGGCTGGCACCTTACGAATAGCATATGAAATTTTTTCAGAGATGCCCTACAATAGCCCTCATAAAGACATATAAAATGAGCCCAAACTCGTTTAGGAAATGTTTCATGGTAAGAAGTTATTAACAAAAAATGCTCAAAACTGTCCCTTATTACCCCATTTGACAGTATCCAATTTTCTGAACTTTGAGGTTGTTTTGGAATTATTTTCATGATACCAAATTTTTGTGTTGTGTCATGTACATGTTTCCATCAAAATTTTTTTATTCAATGCTTTCTATAACTTGAAAATGAAAGATGGCACATTCAAAACATCATTAATAAACTAAAATTGCTTCTCTAAACCTGCATTTTGTTTGACCATGTCATCTGTTTGACCAATGTCATCTGTTCGATCCTGAAAATGTAAATCAAATAATTCCCTGGTCAATAACCACTTAATAAGAGGTTATTGAATTAAACCACACTACCTGCATTATACATGTAGAATTTTACAGCTAATAAATGTATCAATTGCAGTTTGTGGCTGCTGTATACAAAAGTGCTAGAAGTTCACATGCAAATACATTCTTCTTTGAATTTGTCATACTTCCATTAGTGTTGTATGGAAATGTGAATTTAATTGTTTTTATATCTGCCCATTAAAGTGTTAGATAAATAATTGATAATTCATGCAAAAAATTTAATGAAAAAAATTCCACAGATTTCTGTGCTACAAGTTCCAGTTCGTCATCTTAATTTACTGGAGTATCAAAGCAAGGTCCTCTTGGACAACCATGGAGTTACTATTCAAAAATTCAAATTGTTGGATTCAGCAGAATATGCTCTTGAGTCATCAACAAGTCTAGGTTAGTATTTAGTTTTGTATCCAACCTAAAGTTAACCTCATTTTTTAAACTAATTTTTGTTCTATTCTCAACTTGGAATTATATTTCATCATCCTTGAAATATTTACAATACTAAACACATTTTTTCTGCTGGAAGACGAAACTATAGCAATCAAACTTCTGGAATAATTTGTTCTTCAGTGCCGTTATTTTACCCATGATAGAGTGGAGGTGTTTGTATCAGTTATGAATATACATTAAAGAGCTGAAAATCTGTTCAACAAAGTTGAACAGATTTCATCTTTTTTTATTTTGCAGGAGCTGCTGAGTATGTTGTCAAAGCTCAGATATTAGCAGGTGGACGAGGCAAGGGACACTTTGACACTGGTTTCAAAGGTGGTGTTCACCTAACAAAAGAGTAAGCTATCACGTATGCATTTAGAAAATTATTCATTTTAACCTCCATTTTTTCTATCTTTGTCTATATTTAATCAGTTTTGATGTTCACTCAATTTACAAGTCATTTATAAGTGTAGCATTGGTAGTTTGATGAAATTCTAATCATACCTGTAATTTGAGCAGTGCTAATGAGGTGGCCAAGCTAGTTGAGCAAATGGTGGGCCACAAACTCATCACAAAGCAGACTCCTGCTGATGGCATCCTTGTGAGGAAAGTCATGGTGGCTGAATCTGTGGACATTCTCCGAGAAACTTATCTTTGTATCCTTATGGACAGGTAATGAAATTAAAAATTTAATTACTGGCTAGGTATATCAATAACTCAATAAAATTCTTTATTTGATTTATTTCATGTTTGTTTTTGTATTAGGTTCAGTGTACATTTTTTAATTGAAAGAAATTTTGTGTTTAGTTACTTTCATAGCACAATTTTCTCCAATTTCCTACAGATATTAATTACCCAGCAACTTTTTTGAAATGCATTGTGAGGCAACTAATTTAAGACGATTGGATTGTTTGGGCAGAGACCACAATGGCCCCGTAGTGCTAGCCAGTCCTGACGGTGGTGTTGATATTGAAGAAGTTGCTGAGAAAACTCCTGAAAGGCTTTTGACACTGCCAATTGATATTTTTGAAGGTATTACTGAAGAGAAGGCTTTACAAGTAGCAGATTTCCTGAACTTCAAGGATTCTCTGCGTAAAAAGTGTGCTCAAGAAGTTATGAGCGTCTGGAAGATGTTTTTGAACGTGGATGCCACGCAGATCGAGATTAATCCTTTGATAGAGACTCCAGAGGGCCGCGTGGTTGCTGTGGATGCCAAGATTCAGTTTGATGATAATGCCCAGTTCAGGTAAACTGCAAGTTAGTTGATCAATTCAATTGTCAATGACATTTTTTAATGTGCAATGTTTTCATTCTGCCAATATTTTTAAACAAAATGTGGAAATTATTTTGGTACAGCTTTGATAGTCCAAATTTGTAGTGTAATAAGCTAGCAGATGCCAGTGGAATTCATGGTTATGGCAATCCTGTAATAATAGTTAACTTGATTATTATTACAGTTAATTTTATATGTTTTAATAATTAGTTTATATGGATCTCACGTTTGATGGTTTTGAATGAAGTATTATGCCGATCTGGAGGCTAAATGATATTGTGTAAGATTTTCGATCTATTTCTAGATCCATGAATCGTTTACTGCAAGATAACCATGGTATATTATTCATCAAACATAAAAAAGTTGATTGAACACAAAGTAATATCCTTGTGCACATGAAGTTTTTCAGCAGATTAATTGGATCATCAGAATCACTTGCTCGTAAGCAATATTATGATGCTAAAAATTAATGATGTCTTGTATTGATTCTTAATATTTTAATGTTTCAACAATAACAGACAGAAGGAAATATTTGCATCTGAAGATACTTCTGAATCTGATCCCCGCGAGGTCGATGCTGCAAGCCACAACCTGACTTTCATTAGCATGGATGGAAATATAGGCTGTCTTGGTGAGTCCCAGCGGACCGTGTCATCAATCCCAAGCTCGGTGTGTTTGTTTTAGGCTACGAAAAATTGAAAATAAGTATCCGATTTTACAACTTTCTCCGTGTAGTAAACCTTGTAAGAAAATTCAAAATGTATCCAATATTAATAAAAAAATCATATCTTCACTTATATTCGTACTTCATGTTTAACAAGTAATCTAAAATTATACTAGTTTCTTCACGGTCAAAATGCTTCATTAGAATTTAACTAGTTCCTAGTTAAATTGCTTTGACTATCCCGTCTACAGCTTCGTTGAATGTGCAATATGAGAAGCTAGCTTGTGAATAAATTTCCTGTTCCAGTGAACGGAGCTGGTCTTGCAATGGCCACGATGGATATCATTCAGCTACACGGGGGCGTACCTGCTAATTTCCTAGATTTGGGAGGTGGAGTGAACGAAGATCAGGTGTGTGGAAAGTATTAAAACAAATTTATCTGGGGAATTGTGCTCGCAAATATGATCGTCAGCTTTATTTTATTTTGACGCTAAAAACAGCAGAAAACCGTTGCTCAACAGATACAAGTTTCTGCAGTCTGCTGCACCTTTATGAACTATTAATAAACGATATTTTAAAATACCTGTGATGAATGTTGATTTATTTGCAGGTGTATCAAGCTTTCCGTATTTTGAGCGGGGATCCTTCTGTGCGTGGCATTCTCGTGAACGTCTTTGGTGGCATCGTCAACTGCGCCACCATAGCCAATGGCATCGTGAGCGCCTTCAAAAACATTGACTTGAAAGTCCCGCTTGTTGTTAGGCTCGAGGGTGAGTTCTCATCTTTAAGCTGTGTCATGCTTTAATGTGAAAAATTAAATTTCATTACATTTCAAGTCAAAAAGTGTCGGTCAGTGTTGCATCGTTGTACACAAATGACGAAAGCAACGTACGTTTCAAATACAAGACAATATTAAATTGGGATGAACGTTTTTGTATCATCGTTTCTTCATGTTCATTCTCGTGTACATCAGTTCAAAATATGTTCCAGAAAGACTTGAGGTCTGATAATCTACGAATTTTCCAAGAATCTAATTTTGCAGGTACTAATGTTGCTGAGGCAAAACGCATCCTGGCGGAATCTGGCCTGCCTATTCAATCAGCTGGCGATCTTGACGAAGCTGCGAAGAAAGCTGTGGCTGCCATACAATGAGAGATCGTTAGGCCGAGATTGTAAATTATGTTGCTTCATCACATTTCCACTGTTGATGCCTTTTCATATATTTATATATTTGGGATGGTGTAATATGTAAGCCTCGTCGAAACTTTCTCGTTTAAGGCAGCTCACTTTTTTTATGAGAATATTTAATCAAAGTTAGTTGCTACTCTGCAATCAGTAGGAATATCGCTGATGCTTCAATGAGTCTTCAGTTTTTCATTAAGTAACTGACTAATATTGTGCTTTTTAAATAAACAAAACAAAACAAGCGATAAGCGAAACTTGGCAGAAGGTAATTTGTGTACTCTTGGTGACTAATGTGATTTTATAATGAAGCTCCAATGTAGTTACAATCTGATAGCGGGATACTGATATTCAGTTTGTCATTTTACGATTTATTTATAAACTATTTTTCAATAAAAGAAATGATCACCAAACTTTTCATTTTTGAACATTTGCTGACTTATTTCAGAGAAGAATAATCATCTTTCAATAGTGAATCATGGTACTAATCGATAATTATATTCCAAAATATCGTGATAAAAAATGTCCGATGAGAAAGTCTATAAATAACGTGGCAATAGTCTGATGATCACACGCAGGCCATCAACGGTGCTCATATTATTTACATGTTAGCAATTAGATTTTATTTCCACGTTTAACTGAAGCTCCGGCTGTGTAAGTCATAATCAACGCGTGCATTACAATACGTGATGCTAGTGCCACTTAACTAACACATGCCCCTTGAACATCCAAGCGGACGTAAACATTAGCTTATCACAAAAATGTTGATAGTGAAACATAACGTGTCTACCTCCACGAACTACAAAAATTAGAACGTACACTGAACAGGAAAACGTCAAAGAGGAAATCGGATAAGTTTACATTATCACGAACCTTTCACCGGCTAAGAAAGACTTCGTTCAAAACTCTTCAATAAATCGACATTTCTTAACCTCTTAACTAATTAACAACTACAGAATCCACATTGACAAATCAGAACCCACATCAAATTTGAACAGTCTACACCACTCAAAGCCAGGTCCCTAGCAGCACTTAAACTATCTTATCCAGGAATGACGTTATTATTGACTAGAATATTCCTTGCTACCACTCGTGTTTTATGTCGCATCGAAGCTAGAAGAATATCTACTCAACAACAGCAAACGTTGAAAGTTAAACTTTCATCACATCCTAAATGTTAACAATGACGTTGGTCATTAACTTCGCAAAGCTCATTATAAATCTAGAATTATTCTGAAAAATATTAATAATATTTACATTGCAAATCATATGCCGTCGCATGTGTTCATCAATATGATTAGCAAAAATTCAACGAAGGTTCAGTGAAGGGTTCATAGAACTAACTTCGTAGAAACATCGTAGGCATATAGATAGAAGAGGGAAATAAATGATCGATTTACGCGAGCGGACTAATTTGAAATATTTGATTGAATCTGTTCTTTAATATATACTAGTAACTAAATATAAAAAATACATGAATGTATTTTTGGACTTGGAATAACGGGATTCTCGAACTGTCAAGATTATCTACCCTGGACAACGCGAAGCTAACCTGATATGAGAACAAAAATGCTAACCTGATATGAGGACCCTGCCGCACACCGCTAACGAACATTAGCAGAGTTAGGCAGAATTTCATGCCCTCGTGAGATCCTGTTCACCTTAGCGAAATTTGAACGACTAGAATTGTAAAAAGCGATAGGTAACAAAATCAGGTAAGGAAATGCTCTTTGCGAGCAATAATCACCCTTCAAAAGGTGTAGAACACTTGCAGCAAGATACTGTCAATCAATTGCAACGCTCGTAATGAAGCCCATGCCTTTAAAAAATGAAGAACACAAGTTTATCGAATATACTCTTTCAAAATGTAGAAAATATTAGCACCAGGAAACAAAACCCACTTACATTTCCCCTCAATTTCAATGCTGAGGATCGTCAGTGCATGGAGTTCTTGTGTGTAGCTTGTAGGAAAGTTGCGCCCATATTCGTAAGACACCAAGTTAATAATGGAACGTTTGGGAAAGTGACATAAGCTACTGATAATCATTGTAAATTGTGTTCATGGTTATTTCCGAAGACGACGTCGTATGGCACGAAGATGGATCATCTTCAGAACTGGTGGTGGCGATAGGATAAGCAGATTCGGTCACTCCGTTCAGGTCGTGAGAAAAGTTGCAAAAATTTCCACCAGAGTCAGATTCACAAAAAGGGATACTTGTATTTTCTTGGGATATTATCGAACTCCGAGGAACTGTACGAAAATTATTTTGCATGTCCGAATTGTGCATGTTTTGGTCATTCTGGAAAAGAGTTTCGTTGCCACGCTCTGCGATGACATTATGGGTAGCATCAGTTGAGTTGGTGTCTGAGCCATGACGATTACAGTACCCAGACTCAGTACCTGAACTCAGAAGTAATTTGGCTCTGTTAGCAATAAAAATTTCTGGCGTATTCCCGATAGCTTTTTGGGAAAGAAATGACTCGTCACCTTCAACGATTTCTAAATTTTTTCTAACGTTGGTTCTTTTGATTCCGTTGTGCACTGCAATTGTTTTATTGGTACGTGAACGTCTCTTAGGCTTTGAGGCCGATCTGACCATTGCAACGGAATTGGTGGAATTTTGGAGGTGTTGAGCTATATTCAATGGTGTCTTATTATTTGCCAATGTGTTAGCGGTGTCTTGCTCCGAGCTGACTTGTCTCATCACGTGTGATGAACTTTGACCTAGAACGGCTTCAGCGTGAAGATCCGAACCAATATTTGTCAGAGTGCACTCGGTAGACGGAGATTGCCGAGATGATTTCGAGTTTGAAAAATGCTCATCGGTCGAAAGCACATCAGTGAAAGATGTGATCATGGAACAGCTTGCAGCTAACGAAGGGACAGAGAAGTCGAGATCTCTCAAAACATTTGGATGACAAATAGCGGATTGAGAAGAAATCAAGGACGCGGAAGGGGGAAGAATAATTTGGCTGGAAGAAGATAAATTTCCACAGCATGATTCTACGCAAGTTGTCACGACTCCGGCATCGTTGGGCGGAGAATTAATCTCACAAATAGCATCACAATCGGATAACTTTGACTGAAGGACACCGCTGAAACTTGGAGCAGGAGGGCGACAATCGTTGGTAATGGGAGCTGAAAGTTGAGCGACACTATTTCCGAGACATTCGGAATTGGCGGTTTCTTGTTGAAGCTTCTGTATCATCTCGGTAAGATCAGCGGTATTTGTGTCTAGTAGTTTTGATGCACCACAACTTTGGCTACTGTTATCGCCCGTCGACAAAAGGCGAGGGAGATCATCTGAGGTCAGTTCTAATTCACTGAGAGCGGGTATTGTTCCAGAGTTTGAGGGCAAAGGAGGCTCAAGGTTAGCCATATCCGGACTTACAGAAGAGAATGGTAGGCCCAGCAAGGTGGTGGGGGATAGGAGAGGTCTAGTAATTCCTCTTAAGGGTGTGTAGCAAGCAGCCCTGGAGACGTACGTGGTAGCACTGAATGGACTACTGGCATGGCTCACGGGAGACGCAGAAATGCTACCATGAGTAGCGGGCAGCAGAGAAGTCAATGGTGGACTCATCGAAGAGCCGGCAGCTATTCTTGAGGAAGTATAGAGCATAGAACCGTCTTGATTTATAACAGGAGACGTGATCCTGGGCAAGCTTGAAATGAACGAATTTAGGATAGGAGAAGTACTACTCGAATTTTGAATTGAAGGAGGAGGTGTTCTTGCAATGGGAATCATACTAGATGTACTTCGCATTAGAGTTCTTTGGTTCAAGTTTGAACCGATGATGTATGAATATGACGAAGGAAGTGAAGATGACATGAAGTATGGAGGGGCAGGTGAAGTGCCGAAGGAAGGGGTAGAGCAGACGGTTTTCGGAGATGAGATGGTCGGAAGAGTAAGATATGGAGGATGAGAAGAAAGAGACATCGAATTGAAACTCGGCGCCGACACATTAATGCACTGAGTGTTGGGGATCATAACGTGCGAAGACAGAGAAGTAATAAATGTGGTACCGTTAATGCTTACATTTCCATCGAAGGTAGAAGAAATCGAATTGCCAATGGGCATAATATTCCCCTCCATTGATGATAGGCTACCATTTCCTCCACAAGCTGGTATGGGAAAAGTGAAACTCTGAGTGGGACTCAGAGCAGGATGGAAGCCAGCAGGAGACACGACAGTTTGAGAACTGGAATGATCCAATGAGTTGACCAATGGAGGCGTTTCAGATGATCCAGTTAGTGCGAAACCTCGACCAGCCAAAGACCTAGAGACGGGACATACACCAATATCCGGGCTAAGGGTTGCAGCAAAATGATTACTAACATCGGACTGTTGACTGCAGGTCACTCCTGCGGCATCCTGCGACAGTACTGAGTGGAATGATGACTGCAGGAGTGCTGCTATTGGTGAGGTAGCGGGAGGAGTGACACTCGAACCGTTGTCAGAAATATGAGATGAAGTAGCAGCCTGCAGTGGACCATATGCTGCACTATTATCATTATTTATACTAACTTTTGCAACTGACACTAACAAATCCCTCTTTTTAGAACTTTTCTTCTTATGAGAATTTGACCCATTTTTCTTTTCTTCGCCTTTCTTATTTTTTTCAGCCTGAGATTGCGAATGAATGAGAGATGTTATGGGCTGACACGTTGACGAAGGATCGACTACTTCTTTGAAGTTGGCATTGGTGAACTTAGATAGAAATGATGTACGTCCTTTATCTTTCGATTGCTTTTTTAGTTTCTTAGGCGGTGGAGATGAAGCCTTGGTACTGCCAACGGAAGATACATGAATAGAAACATAAGCTGAAGGATTTTCAGGGACAGAAGTTGGCAACTTGGAAACGGCGTTAGGCAGACTGCAGGGTTGCACGTAGAAAGTATCGAACACAGAGCTCGGAATATAGTTTGTTGAGTTGGGACAATCATATCGCACGTCACTTCTCAAAAAATTTGACTTACTTGCAAATGAACTCGACTCAATTTTACCATCGTAATTAAAATTATCCGAATTGAATGACTGTTCGTCCACATTACTTTGTGTACATGATGGACCAGCAGGAGCATCAATAGCATGCGCTGGAGTGTCACTTTGAATGCTCACTGGTAATGTAGATGGCGGCACGACAAAACCAGCAATATTCAAGGTTGAATCACGAAGAGTTTCTTCAGAAGGCATTGGTTGTGGTGGTGGTAAGTTCGAAATGTTTGGTGCAATCGCAGAATTCAAAGTAAAATTTTCCGAGTCACAGAGTTGGGATACAGGTGTGTTGTCGTGCGTAATACGGAAAGACGCTTTAGTTACTGCAGTAGCATCCCGAGGAGGCGTACTACCTTGAAGAAGGAAAGAATTAAGGTCGTAAGACGTAGTGCACTCTGAAAATGAAAGTGGAGAAAATTCAACAGGTGACGGTACCACTTTGTCTTCGCGATCCGGCAATTGTCTTGGCTGTGAAGACGCTACCATGTTTTTATGGTTCAGATTAGATGCAGGATGCAGTTTCTCACTAGACGAATTATTAATGAGGAATGAAGCAGTCACTTGTTGCGTACACCCAACGGCATTCGAGGAAAATCCCAGCAGGGGATCGCCTCTGGAGTTGTCGGAAAACGTCGCATCAAAAGAAGGATCGCTTCGCACTTTAGCGCAGGAATGGGCATTAGAGGAATGTCTCGTTTTGCTTGACTTGGTTTTAGCGTTAAACAACTGTTCTTTCAACTGTTGGCGGATGCCGGTTGCCAAAGTAGCAGATATGCATTCATTATTTTTCGAAGCGAATTGTGAGTCGGATAACGAGGCCTCGTTCGAGGACAGTTTGTCCGAACCAGAAGTAATCGATTGGGCATTAGATTCTAGATTCGAATGAAACGATTCTGCTGTTCCGTTAACACGCAGTTTGTTATCAACTAAAGGCGTTTCTGATCGAGGTGATATTTTTTGTGGATTGCATAATGCAGATTTCATGTGACATTCAGCAGTGTCTACAAAAGCACCAGTGAAATCTGGACCAACAGATGACGGCGACTGAAGATGCTGGACAGAATGTGGTTGCCTTATCTTGGTCATATATTCGCCTGCATCTTTCTGAATCCCTAAAATCTCACAGGACAGTGCCTGATTAGTATCAGTGTCGGTAGTTCGGGGAACGCTCGGCGTGGCATGACATGAAGCCACAGCCACCGTCGATTCTAGCGTAAAACTTGACGTGTGTGGTGTGACAAATATCTGTGACTCGCTATCAGCAACGTTTTGTCCTTTAGACCCGTGATATTTCTCTCCTGCGCCCTTCACTTTAACTTCTTGAGTAGAGTTCTCGTTCAAAAGAATACGTCTATCTTCTGGCTGAGAATTCAGCTGCGAAGAAGATGTCATCTCGGCAGACTTGGCAATCTGAACCTTGTGTTGGTATTTGTCCAGTTCTATGCCAATTGCGATTCCAACGTTCGCAGGTATCTGTTGAAAAATAAAACGGAATAATAATCTTTACGGCGGACCTGCATGAATAAATATCACAGATTTGTTAAAGTGGCCACTTCCATTTCAGCGAACTTGCAGAGCAAATGTCATAGAAAATTTTTTCAATGGAAAAAGAGCTCTCGAACATACCTCCATAGAAGCTGCTACTCCATTTTTGTTAGCATCATTGGCCTCATCTGGATGTCCAGTAGAAGACTGTAGTGCCTTCTTCACTTCCAAACCACACTGGTGCAGCATCTTTGAAAGCAAGGCAGCTGCAGTTGATATTCTCTCAAGCTGAGGAGTTTTCTTAGCGCACGTAGAAGACTGGTTAGTCGGAGTAATAGATGATACGCATGCAGCTTGATGGCACAAGAGCTCCCAAGGAGACAAGTCACGCACGAGCCGAGGAAACACTGCTTCGGCTATCTCAGTCGCAGATAAGGAGCTTATAACCTTGAAAACAACATTCTGAGTTAGGAACAGAAGATGTATGTACCATTATACCAATTAAACTGCAAAATCCGTTCCAACAATGAATTTATATTTCAGCTACAGCTATGTAGAGCAAACAAGACTTAATATCTGATTTCATCAAGTTACATCATGTTCTTAATATCATTAGTTATTAAATGAAATACTTACAGTACTTAGAGCATCAGTTGCTGAAGATGCCCCAGGGATTACAGGAGGTGAAGCAGTGCCGCACTTCTGGCTTCTTCCTCTACCTCTTCCTCGGCCTCGGGTCTTACCTCGACTGTTTGTTTTAGACAATTGAACATCAAAAGGTTTAACAGAATTATAGTTGTCGAGAGGGACCAGGGCAGCGGTAGCTGGGCGCAAAGTTTCATCTGATTCAGAGACCTGGGTCGTCAGAGCGCTTCTCGAAGGAAGATTAGGTGAACAGGTATTAACGACGGGCTCAAAATCAGAATTAGGGTTATTTGGATCAAGTTGCGTCACAGCAAAATATTCATCATTTGAATTCTTTTTAATGTGAACTTTTAGTGCTGAATTTTTTTGGGAAATTTTATCAGTTGCTTTCGCACAGATAGCGTCAGGTTTGGCAAGTGATTTACTAAATGAGTTGTCTAACTTTGACTGGGATTTTTCGATAGCCGCAGGGCTTACAAGTACACTGGAGCCAGCAGCCTTCGCAGGAGATGTCGACACAAATGGTAGCGTCGAATATAGAAGATTAGCGGACGGTAGGAGCGAAGATCGGGGCGTCTGCACACCGCAATCTGTTTCGAAGGGCAACGATGGTTCAGGATTACCGTCAGTGGGTCTGGTGCCTGGCGTGGGGCTGAGAGCCGTGCTGGTCTTGGCGCTCAACTTCTCGTTATTTTTAGCGGCTGTATTCGTCAAAGACAAAGTTAGTGGAGGAACCTCGGCTACGAATAAGCTATTGCTGTCAGTCAAAGATGACGATTCCAGTTCTTGTTTGCTCATGACGTCATCGAAGTCACTGAAGGGGGGTAACGAGAAAGACGGATTGGATATTTCAGGTGAGCTTACTTCAAAATTCCTTTTCATTTTTGGAGCACTTATACCACTGGTGTCAGCCTTGCTTTCAGAATCCGCGCAGCCGTTGCTGTTCATTAATGATTCGAAGCTGGGGTCCAATTTCTTTGAATCAGACTCAGCTTGAAAATCTTCACGTTTGACGAGAGGCTTGAGCGACTCCAGATCAGCCGCTACAAATGAGTTATTAATCTGTAATGAATCACTCGAATCGACGATCGAAACCAAATCATCTGCTGCAAACGAGGTGGAAAAGCCTCCAATGTTAAAGGTGGTGCTAACACAGGAGGCACTAAGCGATGGAGACTCGAAAATACAAGACGTTGAGGTCTTGTATTTTGACGGCAGGATTTGGTCAAAAGATTCTTTATCTGTTGCTTTCGTTTGAACCAAACAGTCATCCTTTGTAGATTGTACAGTAAAACTGACAGGAAGTTGCAGTGTAGAGCTTGAAGCTAATGAGAGTTCTGGATCAGCGAGTGAGTCACCAGTTTGATAGCACTTGGTTTGTGAAGACATTTCAAGCAGTCGAGAGATTACCGCTTTATTAGCATCGTCGATGTTGTTGCATTGAACATTAGAATCCACTTTAAACTCAGGTTCATCAGATTTTACAACATTAATGCCAATAGAAGATCCTCGTTTTGTAGTCTCTGCAGTACACACTACGTCGCCATCAGAAGTTGCGACATCATTCCCCTCAGATAAGCCAACGACAGGTCTCTCACTGAGCCAATCAGAAGCTATCTCGTCTGGGAGTAGTGACATTTTCAATGCCAGAACATTAGTCTCTTTATGACTATGTCCAATCTTCCGAACAGTAGTGATATTTGATGATTTGTCACTTTTTATCTTGGTAAAATGTTGCTTATTCTCATGATTAGAGTTTGACGAAAAATTGGCAGTAGTACTCTTGTGGGTGGTTTGGCTGCAGTTAGATGTAGAACCATTTACTACATTATTACAAAATTTAGATTGTGTTTGGCAGATGTTCGTGGAACTATAACTATTCTGCTGAGGGCCAAGTGAATTATGAACAATGCAACAATCAGCATCAACAGATGACTCATAGGATTTATTAGGTAGATGTTTCAAACTGGGAGCAAGTGTCGCTTGATTTGATGCACGTTCAATCTGAATTGGTGAGACTGAATTATTGCAGAAATGTTTTGGGAATTGCTGATAATGTCGGAGCAGCTTCTGCTGGCCCATGTACAGTTTTTTGCACGTGAGACATGTGTATCGCTCTCGGGCTTCTGGCGACATGATATTTCTTTTTTTACGGTGGATATCATCATTGAGATCTGAAAAATATCAAGTATTGTAATTAAACCACAAATTGCTAGCAACCAAGAAAAATTTACGCCAAAATACTTCTAAAATACGGGACAGTTGATTATAGAAATTAGTCACCGCGTCAATAGCTATAAGCAGCGATATATATAAAATCTATTTTTCACCTGTGTTCAAATTTATAATTAGTGATCTGACTGATACGATTGATTAGTGATCTGACTTATAGTGCCAGCAAGACAATTGTTCGTCTTGATAAGGTTGAATGTTCGTGTTTGTCTGTGGCTGCAGGTCCAAGAATGGACAATATTTAGCCTCACAATAGTTGTGCAAAAAGAAACTTACTTGCAAATGCTTGGTTTGGATCATTGGTCTCTGACTGTAAGGAGTCATAATCGTGGTAGCCAAGAGTGTTGTCGAGATCGGTGTCATAATCTACAGGCTTGAGGAGCTTGTAATCCATCACTCGGTGCTGAGGAGGGCGGCTGATGCGGCCACTGCGGGTCCGCTGCAGTCCCGCTGCCTTCTTGCCACAGCCACTGCTTTTATCCCGAGACTGCTGACAAACATAAATATTAACAGAAGCTGTGGATTGTAGTTAGATTGTTATTATTATAGATTTTATAGCACAATACTTCACTATATCTTCATAGAAAACGTTTCGGGAGTCCAGCTTCATCGTCAGTTCAAATGCTTCAAGATACAGATACAATCAGTTAGTACAAACAAAATTTAAAAAGAGACAATAAAAGAATTTCATAAATACAAGACAGAGAAAACAACCTAAATCCATCGTTTTAAAAAAATATGAGGATTCCAAAACATGCATCTTGGAACACCGGAATTGGACGAAAAAATCTTTAGGTCCCTATCGAATATTGCTACAGCTCGGCATGAGTGCGCAGACGAATGAGGGCAACATGCTATTAAAGGGCCAGCCCTACATCTCACTTCATGCTCTGCCAGTTTATAATATGGGTTGCGTGATGTGATACCAATCTACAGAGGCGCACATCGCGCACAACTGTATTTATAAGTTAAAGACAATCACATGTTTAATAGTCCACCTTAAGAAGAATACCTTTGTACCAAAATAAAGAATATATTCTAAAATAATTCACCAACAAATCATGAAGATCACCATCTGAAAAAAATTTAATGCAAAAAACTTCTGATTCTCTCAACATAGTTTGGACGCATATCCAAAGCAAGGATCAGAACAATAAACAATGTTCCAATAATCATCGGGAACAACCTCATTGTAACACTTGGACATGAATTTTTTATTTGGGTAAATAAAAGGTAAGACAAAAACCAATCTTGTGAGGCGAATTCAAATTTTTGTGCATAGCATAGAAGGTAAAACAAATATGAAGGCCACTGCTGTGTGTTTGAAACCCATTTAATTTATATTGAAATGAACATAAGCTAAAAAAGCTGGTACATAGACCAGTGAAAATCGACTTTTGGAAAACAGCAGACTAAAAATAGCTGTTAACTTAGTAACATTGCAATTGAGAAAGAGCACAGGTGCTACCAATTTGCGTATTTTAAATACATGTATTTTTTTCAAACAGAAGCCTAGTTTGAATGCAGACTTTAGCTCTTGACCACTTGAAATTGTGGATAGATAAGTCTTGCCATACCTTGACTTTGATTTGAAAATTTATGTTTTAACTTCTGTTTTTCTGAATTTTGACTGTACTAAAAAATGATTGTATCTGTATTCTAGAATTTTCAAACTGATGATGGAGCTAGACTGCAAAATGTTTCCAATTAAAATATTNAAGATATTTTGAATTATTGTTTAATTTTCTTTGCTTTTAAATTTACAGTGAACTGCCATTTCAAGCTATCAAGTGAACAATAATACTTAAAATTATTGTATATTACGTAATATTATGTATTACCACATATAAATAAAGTTAATTATATAAAAATTCATTTCATAAATATATTATTTAGTACCTACTGTAAAATGGGGTAACTTAGACCACTTTTTTTTAAATGATGCCATTTTTTTTACTAGCTATATAAAACTTAAATTGAAACATGCAAAATACAGGTCTATACTCTAGATTCACTCATAATAAATTGCTGGCTCCTGCCTCTCATAGTTTTGATGTAATTAAAAAAAAAGTGATGGTCTTTGTTACCATAGCTCTTGGGGTTTCTTAGACTGGGTGATAAAATCAATCATATTTTTGGTAAAATAACTCCAAATAACGCCAGGTTTTGGTGCATTGTAGTAGAACTCTTCTAGTTACATATGCAAATGAGAAATTAGAGGAAAGTGTCATAGTTTGCAAATGGGGGGCGCCGCCCCTGAATGGGGGAACTTAGACCACCTAATGTCAGCCATGAAGGGGTAATATTGACCAGCTTGGAAATTAAGTTAAAATTACCATATACAAGACTGTAGAGTCCGAAACATAAAGAAAAACATTATTAGGTGTATAAAACATAGAATATGTTATATATGGTCATTTTAAATTAATTATCAAGCCCGTCTATGTTACCCCGTCATGGCTGCCATTAGGTGGTCAGAGTTCCCCCATTGGGGGGCGGCGCCCCCCATTTGGAAACTATGACACTTTCCTAAAATTTGTCATTTGCATATGTAACTAGAAGAGTTTTACTACAATGCATCAAAACCTGGAGTTATTTTATCAAAAAATAAAAAATTGAAGGGGGTACTATGACAGGCTTTAAATAATAGCTCTTTTTTGTGGGTCACATTTTTAATTTTTTAACTTATTACATGTGCAAACTTTTTAAATCTTTCTATTGTGTTACGTAGCCTCAGTATTAGGCCTTTAATGCCCATTGACAAAATTTTTCTATGTCAAATAGTTTTTGAGTTTTGGGGGTTTTTGTTAAAAAAACGAAAAGGGGTCTAAGTTACCCCGGGAGTCTAAGTTACCCCATTTTATGTTAGATATTAATGTTTTTTTATTATTTATCAAAATAAATACTAATATTGCAATGATTAAACACGATATTTTGTCGAGAATCTCTGAAGCATTCACATTCTAATGTGGAAATGAAGCCTGTGGAATGAAAGAGCATCAAGAAAGCTAGTGTAATGCCGTGTACAAAGCCAGAGTAAAGTGCTTGTGGAACAGTGTAATGCAGGTTATCAAATAAAGGGCCAATATCTAGAGAGTGATGATAGAGTTGTCAGAGCTCAAGATGATAAAGTGATTGTTTGACATAAGAGAACATCATTTATGATGAGAAATTGCAAAGACACCCACCTTTACATTGGCCGTTTTCTTAGATTTTCTTGCTTGACTTTTAAACATCACAGATTTTGACGTTGTCATTCCCATCACCTGGTTAAAAGTAAAAAAATATGGGATCAAAAGATGTAGTTAGCAATATTCTAGATTTTCATATGACACAATGGCAGGTGGGAGAGGATTGTAACTTTCACAGGTTACGATTACAGAAATGGTTGCTTTTAAGCATTATACTTAGTTATTACCCCGTTTTTAACACATTTATCTTAGCTTTGTTTCGTGTCTGTCTGTCTATCTGTCTCTGTCTGTCATAAAAAATTCAGACCATAATTTAGAGCTCTTCTGAACATCCTAGAAACTTGAAATTTGGCATGCATGCTTATGCTGCCTAACAATTCAAGATTTGATCATCAGAAATAATAATTTAAAAAATATTTAATAAAAAAAATAAAAAAAACGCTAAAAATTCGCGGTTTGGAATTGAGTTTTTTCTCGAACATCCACACTTGCCAGCCCTGGAAATTGATTTGAATTGCTAAAATTGCTAACTAAAAAGTAGAAAATAAATATATATAAAAAATACTTTTAAAAACCACGTTTTTTGTGTTTTTACAAAACTAAAAATAGTGAAATAAAACAAAAAAAGAACTTTTAAAAATCACGTTTTCTTAACGGACAAAAAAGAAAAACATTTACTCTTACATAACATTACATAACATTTTACATAACTTAAATGTTAAGTAAGAGTAAATGTTTTTTTTTCCGTTAAGAAACATGGTTTTTAAGAGTTTTTTATTTGTTTTATTTCACTATTTTTAGTTTTGTAAATACATGAAAAACGTGTTTTTTTAAATATTTTTTATATTTATTTATTCTTGGCTTCGTTTTGTGTCTGTCTGTCTGTCAGCAAAAATTCAGACCTTAATTTAGAGCTCATCTGAGCATCCTAGAAAATTGAAATTTGGCATGAATGCTTATGCAGCCTAACAATTCAAGATTTGATCATCAGAAGTGATAATTAAAAAAAATTTGAAAAAAAGTTAAAAAATAATTAAAATTTCACGGTTGGGAATCCAGTCTTTTGTCAAACATCCAGACTTACCAACCCTAGAAATTGATTTGAATTGCTAAACTAAAAAGTAGAAAATAAATAAATATAAAAAACATCTTTAAAAAACAAATTTTTCTGGTTTTTGAACTAAAAATGATGGAATAAAATAAATAAAAAACTTTTAAAAACCATGTTTTCTTAACAGACAAAAAAACATTTCCTTTTACATAACATTACATAACATTTAACTTTAACATAACTTTAATGTTATGTAGGAATAAATGTTTTTTTTTTTGTCCATTAAGAAAACGTGGTTTTCCATTTTTTTTATTTTTTTTATTTTAGTTTAAAAGCTTCAGAAAATTGGAGATTGTGTGATAGCTATTTCAAATTTTTATGTTAGACAATATTCATTTCCATCATGATAAAATTCTCCATTGCATACAAATAAAATTTTATAGTTGTTCCACAAAGCACAAAACCATCAAACTAATAAAGATGCAAGTTGTAGAGGGCAAATTCTAACCTGTATAACAATGTTCTTGTCTGTTTCAGGATCATATACCATTTTGATGGCACTTTCATTAGGATTATGCTGCAGAGCAGCAGAGTTTCGCTGGAGTACCTCACATATACGCTCATACGAAGGCGTCTCATCTGGAGACTTTTTCTGAAATAAAGTTGGAAAAAGATCATTAAAGTTGCTCTTCAAATTTCATGCCAACACAAGAGAAGATTCTCAAGACCATTCAAAGATATAAAACTTAAACATCTCCATGTAACGATTTATAACATGGCAAATTTACTAGACATTAGGACACTTTAATGCAGACTTAACATCAAGTTCCAGAACATTGATATCAAAGAACAAATTTGCAACAATGATGAGCTTTGCAAGCACATATGAACAATCACTTTGTGTACTAATACCCAAACACGCAAATATCCTATGTAGCCTGCAAGCACTTCCTTAATTACTTGCATAATAAAAATTAACTCACTTGGTTTTCAAAATAAGGCCTGGCATTACTGGGACCTAATATTACTTGCATTTGTACTGAAGTGATATAAAAACAATGAGAACTCACCTTAAAATATGATTTCTTATTTTTTGAAGCATTAGGTGGAAAGTGAAATACATATGGTCCTTCCTTGCTGGAGTTTAAAGGGTCACATACCAGAGATGTTAAGTCAATTCCTTCAGTTTCCAAGGCCTCAATGGTGATCCCAATATCTTCATGAGAACCTGCAAGATTGGACATTTTTCAGAGGTTTTTCAATGATGAAATTGGAAATAATATTGATAATAAGTGCATAAAGGATTAATACACGGCATAAATTTTTGTACCAAATTTAAGAATTTGATTAAATCTCAAGGATATCAAATCCCAGATTGAGCCCATCGAGGTAAAACACATTGAGGTTGAAGTATTGAGAATTGAACAGAGAAAATTCAATGTTAAATTTTCTAGTAAATGAATTAGTTGATGAAAAATGACAAATATGTAATACCTTATGATTTGAAAGAACTCACTAGGTCCCTAGATTGAGGAGGATAAAACAGAAAGAATAACACTAATATTTTAAAACAAATGCAGTCTCACCATTAGGCAGATTCTGGTTTCCTGTACTGTCTTTCAAGAAGCTGGTTCCAGTGTAGACTTTGATCTTTAGCAAATTTTTTCTCAACTTTGACGTTTCAATACAACCATGTATAGCTTCATCTGCAGATTGAGTTGTAGTTGCAATGGCTTGAACTGGCAGGATCCCAACTTGAAGAATATGAGACAAACATGAAGGCTGCTGCCAGGCTTGCCTTTGGATGTTATCTTCAACATTCCTTAAGTTTTCTGAAGCAACAGCAGTAGCTGCCTGTATTTGTGATACTGGACAACGAACAGTGGAATCTTTCAGTGCAGAATTTGTTACAACATACTGAGAACTTCTAGGAATCAATTTCACACTAGGGAATGTAATTTTTGGAGCACTTGTATTGATCCTGTTAATGGGGATGGCATGAAAAATATTTTCAGAGAGAGTTAAGCTGACTTCTGGCTTACTGCTTGAATTAAGTTCACCATGAGGATACTTGTTGGAAGAATAGTAAATTGGATTGCTTATGCATTGAGTAACAATAGGATTTGTTATTGCAGAAATGGAGGGAGAAGGTGTCTTTGCTGGGCAGGACAACACATTTGCAGAAGTACTCTTGGGTTGAATATGAACATTTTTGGAAGATGTCTCAGCAGATCTCTCTGTTAGAGATACTTCTAAATCAGTTGTTTGAGAGGCCTTTTCCTCTGAATGCAAAACAGTAGAGTTGAAAGTGTGGTAAGAT